ACTTATATATACATACATACACACATATATATACATACACACTTATAGTAGTGTATTTTCCATAGCTTTCTACTAAATAAATTTGGTTGCCATGACATATTTATTTTATTGTCCTTGTAAGTGTGGTAAATTCATTATTTTTGCAATATGTCCAATATGCAATCAGCAGTTTCTCTATTTTTCATTAAAAAAACATCTGTGCTTTGTGTTTAAATTAGCAAAATATTGAGACCATTAATGTAACGTCACCATCAGGCATGATGCTTTGGCTTGTTTTACAATTTTAACCATCTTGTCATATTATTACATTATGTCCTTTTAGTATTTTTGTCTCTCCATAATATTAAACAGGTGTCTAATGGTGAGATGATGTTTACTCACTGATTATAAAAAAATAGCTGCCAGAAAGCTTAGTCTCTAATTACAAAGTTAATTAGTGTACAGGACACATTCTTGCTATAATTTGATGTAATGTGACTAAAAGCTGGGTCCAAACACAAAATGGCACAATGCTGATGTTAATGATTTGATAAAACATGGTTTTATTTGTAATCTCTCACACCAGAACACATTTAATGATGCCATAGCAGCTTTTGTAGCATACTGAACTTTTTTTTCAAAATGTGTCTGAAACTGATGATATTCCCAAATTAGAAAGTTCTTGTTTCTTACCCACAACGCTATAATGAATAAACTCTTCAAAATTCAAAAGTGATTAAATTACTCAGGCTGTCTTAATATTCTTTTGTGCTTTCTCACAAATCCAATTTCTCTTTTGTTCTTTTGTAGGTTCCATCTGAGTAGGAGGTGGCAACAAAAGACCAAATGCCATGGATGTATTCAATTTCACATATTGGAATGCCTCAGAAGGCAATGACACAGAAACTGTGGAAGAAAATGAAAGCCCCTACAAGACCGTGGAGGTAGTGTTCATCGTGTTAGTGGCTGGTTCCCTCAGTTTGGTCACAATTATTGGCAATATCCTGGTCATGCTCTCCATCAAAGTGAACAGGAACCTACAGACAGTCAACAACTATTTTTTGTTTAGCCTTGCATGTGCCGACCTAATTATTGGACTCTGCTCCATGAACTTGTACACAGTTTATATAGTAATAGGCTACTGGCCCCTGGGACCAGTGGTGTGCGACTTGTGGTTAGCCTTGGATTATGTTGTGAGCAATGCATCCGTCATGAATCTTCTCATTATAAGCTTCGACAGATACTTCTGTGTCACCAAGCCCCTCAGCTACCCTGTAAAGAGGACCACCAAAATGGCAGGGATGATGATCGCTGCTGCCTGGGTTCTTTCTTTCATCCTTTGGGCTCCTGCCATTCTCTTCTGGCAGTTTATTGTTGGTGGGCGGACAGTACCTGAGAAGGAGTGCTACATCCAGTTTTTTTCCAATGCTGCTGTCACTTTTGGAACAGCTATMGCCGCCTTTTACCTGCCCGTCATTATCATGATTCAGCTATACTGGCAAATCTCCAGAGCGAGCAAAAGTCGTGTGAAGAAGGACAACCGCAAGCCATCAGGAGCCAATCCAGAGCCTCTGTCGCCTGGCCAGCGGAGAGATAGCACTCCAAAACCCAACAACAACAATGTACCGGGGGAGGACACGGGTCACTCACAGAACCAGGGTGTGGATAATGGAGCCAACCAGCACGATGGAAAAGTGCAGAACGGCAAGGGACCTTCCTGCGCCAATGCCGAGATAGAAACGGAGGGCAACAGTGTACCAAGGGAGAACTGYGCTCCTGCGGAGGAGAAGGAAAGCTCCAATGACTCAACATCAGTGAGCGCGGCTGCTTCCAACCCAAAAGACGAAGAACCAGCACCGTCCGCAGCCAACTCYAAAGCAGAGGCGAGCCAGCAGGTCCCGTGTCAACGAGCCAAGGCGGGGAGCTCTAAACTGACCTGCATAAAGATCAAAACAAAGTCACCTAAAGGGGACTATTACACACCGTCCAACGCCACGGTTGAGATAGTTCCAAGCACGGAGCGGCAGAACCATGTGGCGCGAAAGATTGTGAAGATGACTAAACAGCCTCCAAACAAAAAGAAAAAAGGGGCGCCGTCACGGGAGAAAAAAGTTACACGCACCATAATGGCCATCCTGGTAGCTTTTGTGGCCACCTGGACTCCATATAACGTGATGGTGCTTATTAATACTTTTTGCTCCAGCTGCATCCCCAACACAGTCTGGACTATTGGTTATTGGCTGTGCTATATCAACAGCACCATCAACCCGGCCTGCTACGCCCTGTGCAATGTCACGTTTAAAAAGACATTCAAACATCTTCTCCTCTGCCAGTACAAAAATATTAGGTCAGCCAGATAAATACAAGCCCCCGTGGAGGAGGCACTGAAGTTTTAGTTGCCTGCGTGAGTGTCTGCTTGAGGATCTGAGTATGTCATTCATGTGTGTTTGTTTTTGTGAAAGAAAATGATAGAGTGCATTTTGAAATCATTTTCTATGATTTTACCAGTTTCTCTCATTAACCAGTTGTAGCACTTTATACTTATTTAACTGGAGCGAGTTGCGTTGAAGTGTGTTGCGCGGACGCAGGGTGGATAAAAAAAGGGTTGTACGAAAAATAATCAATTTTAGAACTGTACGACTAAAATTGAAGACTGTGTAAAGCAAATTACAAGGGAAGAWAATGAGCTGAATAAAAAGAAGCAGAGGAAGATCTACGCTATGAGGCAAGGTTTCTAAATGGGAAAATAGGGCTGCCTGAATTTACAAACCTTCCGAGTTTGAAGTTCAGTGAAGATACTTGTAGATACCTGTACATAGTGGCGTATAATTGATTTGTGTGTGCACATGTGGGTATGTGCTGGTATTTGGGTGCATGCCCACTTGTGCCCCTCTGCTTGCCTTCTCTCTGTGTGTAATCATTGTCATGGCTCTTCTAACCAGCAACGTGTAGAATAAATGGAGGGGTTTYGTGTAGATAGCTTCAGACATGCAGACAGGTAGCTATCTTAGCTAACAAAGAGATCTGATGGATTAGCATACTGAATTTGTCAAATTTGCAGCCTAATTTATAAAAAGAAAAGAACTTTGAATAAGCTTTAATGGCTGGTTCAATACATACATTTAAGAAAAGAAAATAGGCATRATGAAAACCATGTAAGAAACATCCACAAGAGCTTCCCAACACATCCAAGCAGGGGTTTTTGCAGTCAGTAAGTGGGAACTTCTTGGGTCTGGGCATAGTTTGGGTCAGCTGTGATTGGTCGTTTGATGTGTGGGAGTAGTTTGCGTAAAGGCAGCTGAGTGAAGTGCAACAATTCAGATCGCTAATTGCATGAATATTAATTTTAGTCATAATTCAGGATAGGAAGGTTCTAGCCGCATGAAATTTAAACGTCGTACATGTGAAGGGACGTGGAGCAATTCAGCTGAGTCAGCTTTTTTTAAAAATGAATATTAATATTAGCCAAATTCGGACAAGAATTTTCTAGTCGCACCAAAGTTGAAGTCAAGAAATTATCTTCACATGTTCACAATAACTTTACTATTACCATTGTACATGACCTTTTAACTAACCCCATATGTCAATCTGACCAATCATAGCGTATCCACATTAAGCCCATACAGTCAGTGCGACCAACCAGACCCAAACTACGTCCAAACCCAAGAAACTTCCAGAAGTTTTATTTTTTTTGGTGGGCTTTCAGAATGAAATTTCTATAGCACATCCACCATACACAATAATACTTAGAAAACCCTTTTTGATGCTCTGAAGCATTGTATCTTACTCAAAATGGGTGAATTATGTGCGAAGTACCAGGGGTTGGATAACAGYGTATTTGTAAAACTAATTGTTTATTTGTCCAAAAAGCTGAGGATGACAATAGAGCCTGAATTGGACCAATCAAAATAGTACAATGTGCTACTGAAGACTTAATTCTCTAAATGAAAAGAAAGACTTGACATTTGCAATCACAAATGTTCCAAGTTAGATGAGAAGAAACCACTCAAAGTTAATTTAGTCTGGCATAAAAATTACTAATTATTTTCYTCCCCAATCAACATGCTGTGTGCTATTTATATAATTACCCTGTACAAAAAAATAACTGTTTTCTTAAAAACGATGGCAATTTTTCCAAGAGTTACTGAATACGACCCGTCATGTTCTATTTTGACAAGAAAACAAACCAAAAGACATCTTGAAAAAATAAATAAATGAACGGCATGAGAGTGTTCAGTTGCGATCTTTTCATTTACCATCTGCGAGAAACCTCATCACTTCAGCTTTTACCACTGACAGGACGTCAGGTGTTGGGTTTTATGGCAGCTGTTAAGATATTTATGTTTGCTGTCAAAGTTGTTCACTGCTGCCGAGACGACACGCTCGGTGGGGTGAAGCGGGAGGTTGGAGCTCAGAGCTGTGAGTTGACTTCGTTTGAATCTTTTGGTTATTGGAGCGACGTCACAACGTGTTTCGTAGGGGTGAAATTTACAAAGATATAAATAAAGTGTGTGTGTGCTGATGTGTGTTTGCGTGCTCCGAGAGTGGAGTTTACTTCGGATCACAGGTTACAGCCTTGTGATTTACAAAAAGGGCTACTTTATGTGTTTGGTGTAACTCATCTCCTTTTGGTTTCATTTGGACTTTGTCAAATTAAGTTAGAAGTGTTTATTTTAGTGGCAGAAGAAGCTAAAGAAATGTATCAGATCTCATTCGTCATTTGAATCTAGTCTATTCTCTGTTTCATTAATGTGGCTTACTAGTTGGAGTGATAAATATGCAGCAGCATTTGCCATCAGGAGGTTGCCACAGTGGCTGGTGGGGGGGCTTTGCAAAGATTTACGCCCGCACCGAATGGCTCCTTTAGGCTGTCGGCTTTAAAGCGAGATCTGGGACAGATCCTATAATGAAAACTCACCATGAGGCTGATCAGATTACAGGCCGATGTGGAACACCTACATTTGAGATTAAAGACTGCCCATTACACGCTCAGCTTGGGCTCGCATGTACATTGCCTGTGCCCCACTTTACTGTATCGCTCTGCTTCGGTTCTCGTCTTGGTTACGTCTCAGTTTTATTTTAAGGTCACGACTGTGACATAAATATCACTTGTACACCCGTGCAGCTTGCCCTGTTGTTCATTAACATGCTCCAAATATTGCCTTTCTGCTAAATGCCACTGACGTGCGGAGCTGGCGTCGAGTAAACATTTGTGTTTTTGTTTGTATTCAAAAAGCACGTTTGCCCCCCCCTGACATTAGCTGAAAAAAAAAATGGAAATGCAGTCCTGACCTGGAATTATTGCTTTCTGACCTTTACTTTAGAAAAGGAAGAGACAAGAAAATGGGTAGACAGTAAGTCAGTGCGCAGCAAAAAAGGCAGTAGGTCACAACTGGAGCCTGCCGAGCTGAAAATTTTCAGCCTGCATAAGAAAGGTGCAATTTGGAAAGTTGTTGACCTCTTGGCATCATATAAAATGTTAAATTGATGTTTTCAAGATGGTAGACTGGGTGAGACAAAGTGTTAACCTGGATTCTGCTCCATTTGTCCGGCCTTAACAACAACTCAAATCTGTTTTGCCATTTAGATTATTTGCTTGAAGACACAGTGAGGTAATTATGGTCACATACCACAGGAATGGTTTGACAGAAGTTATTCTGTTGAATGTAGGCGGCTAGGGTTAGGTGTTTTTAAGGGCTCGACACACGGGAGGCGACGTCGCTCGCTCTCCATTCATTTCCTATGGAGCCTGTTGCGGTGAGGCGACAATCGCTTGCCCTCCTCCAGCTAAGCGATCGGTGAAAATAGTGCACGTGAAATTTCGCGCTCGTACACGTAGACGTGCACACGCGAGCTTGCGGCGCGACATATGAAAGTTAAAAATGTTCAACTTTTGTCGCTGTCGCTTAGCGTACAACCAATCAGCGAGTGTTTCATTGACTGACCAATGAGAGGAGAGTATGCTACACACTGCAGTTAGCTAACACTTTCACCAAATGATTACTAAAAAGCTTTGTGAGAAATTATTGGCACCAGGGTGAAGTTTATGGTAAGTTTTTCCTCATAAAACTGTATCTTGATGTGTTTGTTTTTCAAT